GGCTGGGATTTCTCAAACTCATGGACACTCTTTGAAAGAACGTAATTTTAGGAAAAGGTAGATAATTAGCATTTCAAGTCCTTTCGCAAATCGATCTATAAATTAAAATGTAACTAAGTTGCATACATTTTAGAAATCAAAATGGCCTCAAAGTACTCAGCAAAGTCACAGCTCTTCTCCCTGAATCTATTATAGTTGTTATATTAATATATGTATTCTTTTCTCATTTTGACTCCTTTTATGTGCTTCTGTGGGTAGAACTCATTGTGTTGTGATAGAGGTGTTTAAGTTAATCAAAGGGTTTGAATGAATTAATCAGGACAATCTCTTTCTGCTGGAAAGGGATTGGAGGGTGTGAATTGGAGATTGTGACCAACATAGCAAAAGGAGATGTTCAGGAGAATGGATGTTGTCAGGGAATGGAGCATGTCAACAAGAATGGAATAAGTACATTAGGAGGGAGGGCATTGGAGGACATTGGGAGAGACCGAGAATGGATGTCTCTTTGAGGAACAAACATTGACACAAAACATTGAGACTTACGGCCTCCTACACCATACATTCCATGGTTCTAGAGTTGAACACCTTCTGGTAACTTACCCAAGAGTCTAGTATTCTCACACGAGTCGAAACAGAGAGTTGGCAGGTTACGCGACCATCACAGGTAATCCCACTTTCTACACACATACAGACACACACATAGACACAAAGACCTACATAGAAACGTACTCCAGCAGAGGTCCCTGCACAGTGATCAGGAGCCAGGTCTCTGGCTGTTTGCCTTGTACTAACCCGTGAGGCCAACTATGTCTCTCTAACTGCTGCCGAGGCTGAGATCAGCACAGAGCAGGTTTATAACCTTGTGTAATGTGTTGTCAGACTGTTTTGCAGTTGGTTCTATGTCGCAGTGTAAGGTACTCGTGGTCACTTTACTTTGTCTCCAATCCTGTCGCAGCCCAGCTTGAACTGGAGAATAGTTTATTCGCTCTCAGCCTCCAAACAGCAGAGACTCCAGTGAAATGGCTTCAGTTCGGAGCTCAGGCTCGGAGCTCACACCTGCTTCACTGGATATTTAAAGCTGCCGCAAGATCAACACAATTGCACTTTTACAGCTTCAGCGACTTATTGGAGGTAAAGAAAATCGGCTTCTAAGTCAACATTAGACTGTTTGCTGTGGATGGTCAGCTGGTGGGTAACAGACTTTGAGACATTTACAGACCTTGTGGCTTCTCCAAGTTCCTCCATAAAACGAAATACAAACAGAGGCTGAGAGAGTGAGCGGGACTGAGGGTGGGGGGAGATTCTACACATGTTAAACCCCAAATGGTATTGGATTCAGTTTGTAAAGGAGATGAGCAGTTGCCAAGGGCAAAGTTCCCTCATTGGGTGTGAGCAGCACCAGCTGTGACATTCACAATCATTCGTCTCAAACACGATCCCAAAAACAAGTGGAACAAAGCAGCCAAAATCCCATCCCCATTACTAGCAAAACACATCTGGCTCGCACCGTAATCCCCACAACTGACTATTGGTCTATAAAATAATATAAATATACACTAATGTCATGTATTGTATTCGTGTAATATAATCTGCATCGATATAAAAGGCTGCATTACTGTAGGATTAGACTCTGACACTCAATAGATGCCCAGTGATATTGAAACTAAAACACAAGTACAGTTTTAATGCTGCGGTTTGTGCAGATCATTCCAGTCCCCGAACAACCTCCAGACAGGCAGGGAATGAACCTTCTGCCCATTGATATGACACACAGAGAGAGACCACTTCACCGACAGCTGATTGTGAGGCCAGAACGGCCCCAGAATATAACATTCCTGAAGTTGGCGTTGACAAATTTCCCTGATATGAACCATCAGAGTTGAATTATTAACAGAAGCTGGCACTTAGCGTGTTGAGGGTGGGTGATTTTCAGCAATGCCCCACCCCCCACCAACTTATAACAACGCATTTTGCCCACAAATATACATTCAATTCACTTTACAGTGTATTCTGTGAAGCCCTTTGTGATGTCTAGAAGACGTGAAAAGCGCTATATCAAATGCAAGGATTATTATAACTGTGCATAATAACATCTGATTAATGAAACCCACTACATTTACAGAGCTGGTCAATGGCTCCGCATTGTTCAGAACAGTCATATCCTCAGTGATGAACAGTCCTTTCTTGTAAGGCAATAAAAGCTCAGTCGCAATGTGTCACCATGAACGTGTTGGAGCCAGTTCATGCCATGCTCCGCTGGGCATGTCCAGACCCACTGATGGAATCCTGAGTATCTTACACAGCTGGAATTGTCCTGTGCTGAACACTGGAGCAGGGAATGAGCCGACCTAAGATAACAACACAACCAACATTGTTCAAGCAGCGAATAGGCTCCATTTGTGCTGAAAAATAAGTGTGTTGAAGTCTTCAATTTGAAAGTCAGACGTGCAATTAATGCATGACTATGTAAACAGATTTTTTTTACTATGTGTTGCAGGAAAACAAAACATCTATTGCAAGTTCTGTTCACAATCCTCAGAGCTGAATCACACACATTCAACAGATCTCACAAGGCACAATTCAGATCAGCCAGTGATTGGAATACATCGAATTTATTTCAAATGTGCTTTACCCTGAGCATTACACCAAAGAGCAAATTATTAACTACTTAGTGGGAGATGTACTCAGTCACCAGGGGCGAGTGGGGGCAGGAATAGATGGAGGTAAGTAAAGGCACAGTCAAAGAAATAGCTTTTTAGACATATTTTCAAGCTGCCTCAGAGGGAGCAAGATAAAAGGAATTCAGAAGCTATTTCACAGAGTGAAAGCTCACTCACTGATGGTGCAGCCCAATGTGTGACACAGCCTCAGCTGGTGGAGTTGATGGAGTAGGCGGAGGAGCAGGACCGATGGAGATGTACTATTCAGGCCAGATTACAAATCATTGATGGCTCTGGCATCAGTCCTATGTGCGAGGACTGGCTAGGTATAAACAAGTAGACATGTAGGCCTGTGATCCCAAAGGGAGTCCTGCTATCTCCTGATTCTACAGCAGAGGCTTGCACCCACTGGACCATCAAAGAAACGCTCAATAAGATGTAAGCAACCTGTGCAAGAACATTAGGTTCCTTTCTGCACTTCATTAGCTCCCTACACCAGAAGTGGGTTACGATATCTACAGCAGCTGCCGGCACTTTCCATGTCAAACCATTTGCACAGGAAGAAGAACAATGGTTAGAACTCTGACATTTTGAGGAAACAGAAAACTGAAGTATGAGGAGCGGAGTTACTGCTCACCACAACATTCAGTTCACACTGACTTCACAATGGCTTCATTACATCCACATCTGTGTCTGGTGAGAGGTAGTGAGTACAGACATTGTGCTTCCCATAAGGAAAGGCAAACTAAAGCAAAACCACAAGTGAACACAGAACTCTTTGCCTTTATAGCTTTTGCAAATAAAGATTTGCATTTGCTACAGCACCTTGTCCTGTCGCTGTTTGTGGGATGTTGCTGTGCACAACTGGGCTGTTAGGTTTGCCAACAAACACACGACAAAAGGGAAGGCAATGACAGGCGGTGCCTGTGGTAAGAAGTTGGCAGAGGATGACTGGGAACAGCCTGCGATGACTGTCTTCAGACACGAGTCTCACATTTGCCCTGAAGCGGAGGCAAAGATCAGACGTTGACAAACAAGTGTTCCCATCATGTAGGTTTAGATACAAAAATCAGCATTCCCCCGACTGGGCAGCAGTGCTGACTTGTCAGGAAGAATGTCAATCAGCAAATTCTATTGACTGATGGGGAACTTCCAAGTGCATTGAGGGAAAGGCACCTCCATTGGTAGATTCAGAAGATAAATAGCAGAACTGAGATTGATCAGATTCCCCTAATAATTGCAGGAAATTTGTAAAGATTCTCGCTTTCAGTATCGTGGATGTCTTTCTAAGTGCATGTTCCCACTCGCCAGCCTCCTGCTCTCAAAGTGTTCAGCACCGGCTGTTAATGAGACATTATGACTAAATACTAGAAACTAAAACTGTGGCAGAAAGATTTTTTGTAAATGAACAAAATCCAACAACTGACAGCCACCAGGAAGCATTCACCAGGAAATGTGGGTTTGCCCTGAGCCAATCTAAACACATAGGCCAACCCTGGGCTGGTTACACTGTTGGCATTTGCCAAAAGCAACACGTCAGTCACTCTCTCCTCCAGTCACACCTAATGACTGGAGCCGTTATATGGTGATTCACCTTCAGTAACACCCCATTGTAGGATAAACACTAAAATAACAACAGCAGAACTATATTTACTGTCATATTGCATTCCAACTTGTCATCACGAAAAAGACCTCGAAATTCAGTTTCTTTTGATTTTTTTTTCGGGAAGTAAAGGGCAGAATCTAGGACACTCCCCAAGGGTGAGAAGGGGAGGAAAAACGGGATATATCAGGAAATGCTACTCACTAAGTTTGTCCAGGGCACAGGTTTTCTGTTTGCTGCAAAACCCTGTCACACAGTAATACGAAGTGGTTCCCTTAAACATAGAGACGAGTTCAGGTACCAGGATTGCCTATAGCACCAAATCTCAGCAATAATCACTGCTTTTAGGAGAGGAAGGGAGAGAATTTCCACAAAATATGTAGAATTGTAGTGTAAGGCACCAAATTATGAAAAAACTGCTGCACTTCTCTGATTCACCTGGAAATACAGTTTACAGAAATATCTTGTGAAGCGCTTTGCGAGGATCCGACAATGTGATACGATGGTACATCAAATCGGGGATTGTTATTATAAGTCATTATCCTAACAACAACAACAAGATTGCATTAACTAAAGCTGTTGGAAATATTGTAGTCTGGTAAAAGAATAATGTTTTCTGTACAGAGAGAGTAAATAGCCCAAGTTTCCAAACAACAACCGGGCATAAAATTGGGAGAGAAAAGGAGACAGACAGAGAAAAGGAGACAGACAGACACTGGGAATGAGGAAGTTCTCACCTGGAAACCTCCAGCTCCGGGTTTGCTGTTTGCATGTGCCGGGATGTCCTGCCCCAAAGCTGGGAGGTCAGTGCGGGCAGTCAGGGCGGCTCCTGTGCCTGTAGCCCCCACACACTAACCCTCTATGTTGCCCTCACACTTACCCTCTATGTAGCCCCCACACACTTACCCTCTATGTTGCCCCCCCACACACCCTCTATGTAGCCCCCACACTTACCCTCTATGTTGCCCTCACACTTACCCTCTATGTTGCCCTCACACTTACCCTCTATGTTGCCCCCCACACTAACCCTCTATGTAGCCCCCACACACCCTCTATGTAGCCCCCACACTAACCCTCTATGTAGCCCCCACACTAACCCTCTATGTAGCCCTCACACTAACCTTCTATGTAGCCCCCACACACCCTCTATGTAGCCCCCACACACTAACCCTCTATGTAGCCCCCACACACCCTCTATGTAGCCCCCACACACCCTCTATGTAGCCCCCACACTAACCCTCTATGTAGCCCCCACACACCCTCTATGTGGCCCCCCCACACTAACCCTCTATGTTGCCCCCCCACACACCCTCTATGTAGCCCCCACACTAACCCTCTATGTAGCCCCCACACTAACCCTCTATGTAGCCCCCACACACCCTCTATGTTGCCCCCCCACACTAACCCTCTATGTAGCCCCCACACACCCTCTATGTAGCCCCCACACACCCTCTATGTAGCCCCCACACACCCTCTATGTGGCCCCCCCACACACCCTCTATGTAGCCCCCACACACCCTCTATGTAGCCCCCACACACCCTCTATGTAGCCCCCCCACACCCTCTATGTAGCCCCCACACACCCTCTATGTAGCCCCCACACACCCTCTATGTAGCCCCCCCACACCCTCTATGTAGCCCCCACACCCTCTATGTAGCTAAGGGCAGCCTCACACCTCAGACTGGTCTCTGGAACTGGGAGCCGAGAGCAGAGGAACTGTGCGTAAACCGTCTGTGAGCAGCTCCCGAGGCTTCTGCCTCACTGAGCACAACCCCAACTCCGCCTCCACACACTCCACCACTCCCTCTAAACCACACACCCCCTCACACACAGTGTCACACACTCCCTCTCTAAACCACACACCCCCTCACACACACACAGTGTCACACACTCCCTCTCTAAACCACACACTCCCTCTCACACATACACACTGAGATCTGCTCTCACACAGAGGGCAGTCAGTGGAATCAGAGCTGATTTGAGTGTGAAGGTTGCTATATCTGTATGTATATCTCTATCTGTGCAGAATGTGTTGAACCACAGTAGCTGTTTGGCTTCTGGAAGCTGGGTCTTTGGACTAGGGAAATGGTTCCCAAACCTGATTCCTACAACTACAGCTACAACAGCCATAAACCACAGATATCAAGAACCCAGAGGATCAAAGATACAATAACTGACGAAATGTCATCGACCTGAGACGTTGACTCACTTTCCTCTCTCCATAGATGCTGCCTGATCTGACCTGCTGAGTGTTCCCAGCTACTTTTTTTTATTTCAGATTTCCAGTATTTTGCCTTGCTTTTAAACACAATAACTCACTGTCTGGGTTCTCACAGGTCAATTGGTTGAGCCATAGAGAAAAAGTCCCATATATAATTAAAAAAAACACAAAACCTCTCCCAAAACTGATAAGCAATGTGTAAAGACATCTGTTGAGCTCCACCCTCCCCCTCCTCTGCTCTCACACAATTTGTGTGGCCCTGTGTTATTTTTTGGTTAATCAAATACACTCATAATTCCCTCATTACACATGGTTAGCACAATTCCCAAATTACCCCGGTCCCCCACCTCAAATCTCACCTGAATACAGCCATCGGCTGCAGTTACTGACAGGTTTTCTCTCACTTTGCTTCTCCCTTCAGTGGCTGATGGTCAATTATAGCAATTAATTCCTGAAGGAGCAAAGGGGGAAGATCACGGGGGTTTTTTGTACACACATGGGAATGTGGAACAACTTTACAAGAGATGTGGTCAAGGCAGGATCCATATTACTCAAGAGGAAACTAGCGAGATGGGTAGATAGATATCTAAAATGGAGTAAGTTACATGGGGTATTGGGAAGAAGGTAGACACGCTCTTTCAAACAGCCACCATGAGCTGACTGGCCTTATAATGTGTTTTAATGCTCTATGGTTCTTGCTTCCTCCAAATCCCCTTCCTCTAAATCCAGCCACAAACGCCACACTACACACCCACATAGACATTGTGAAGCCACCAGAAGCAAACTGGATGGTTGGGAGCTGGCTATGAATTGTGGACCTCTAGATTTCTCTAATTGTTCCCAACAGATCATTGTCTGAATGAAGTTGTGTATAATTATATGCAGCAATGTAAACAGCACAATAAAGACTCCAGTGTACTGGTGATCTGATCTGATCACCAGTAGCAAAGCTTTATATACTGATTCTTCTGACGGTGGAGCTTTCCCAGACAAGTGCCATCTCCTGGAATTTGATGGTGTGCGCGTGTGTGTGAGGGGGAGTAAAGAGAAAGTAGCCGGAGAGGGTTAAAATACAAAGTTTCACTGGACATGTTATCGCCAACATGAAAGTTGGAGAGGTTAGAGCAGCCTTGAGGCTCACTGTTACAGTATTCTATGACATTAATTTCCCCAGATCTCTCTCTCTCTCTCTCCCGCCACCTGCCTCCTTCAGCCTGACACAAACATCTCAGTTGTTCAGGGTGTGTCAGCTAACAGCACAGCTGGGAGATGGCTCAGGAGGTCAAGGCAAGTACAGGGCAGCCCAGGTTTGAACTGGTGCTAATGTGAACAATCATTCCAGCATGTGGAAGCTGTGCATCACGGACAGAGGGTGGTTTCATTAGGACGGTTTACAAATATTTTTCATTTATTTGTTTAAACACTACAATACAGAAAAAAAAGACAAAACAGCAGATAGTGTTCTCCAGTAGGCTAATTTACAGCTCATGTAAAAAAATACATAAACAAGTAACGTAAATTTTTTTTATAAAACGTAGACTACAAAGTCTTTGTACAATTACATTGATTCTCAAAAACAATATGAAATGTAAAAGTTACACAGTAAATAAAGCTGTCAAATAATGTGGAGCTTTGTAGGAAACTAACGGATGGACTTCAGTAGACTGGATTATACAGGCTCCTTAGGATCCATGGAATAGAAACACAATGTTGAATTCATACTGTTCCAAAGTGTAGAGGCATTGGTGTCCCAGCAGACACCTGAGCACATCAATCTCACATTATGTTCCACAGTCAATCAAACCACCCCTTGAGGGTTAAATAAGTGAACCCCAAAAATCCCTTTATACAGTACGTCCATTTCCAGTCAACTTTTCCATTACATTTTAACTCCGACCCTCCAATAAGGCAGCTTTCGTCCTTAATTATCTGCCAAATGTTTTTTGAATATTTCATTACAATTTTAAGCCACATATGAACATGACAGAAAAGTGTCCTTAAAGCTGAATAGCTTAAACTAGAGAATGTAATTTCTATTTTAGTAGTTAAAGTTAATGCAGGTTTCAGGCTGGTCATTGCTTGAGTTAATGCATTAATTGCAGTGGTTATATATCACAATTGTCGTGCCCTGTGGAAGTTCAGTAATAAACAGTACAATGGATATTCTGGTTTGTTTTGCTGCTATTCAAAACTAATGATCTGTCAAAGGCTGATTTAACTAATAGTATAGTCGTCACTAAATACATCTAGACTGAAGCAAAGGAGCATTGCAAAACAAAATGAGTGCAGCGTTCAAGCAACTGAATGAATACTGTACAGAATTCCCTACTTCAGATCTTAAGATGGGATCTGAATAAAGGTCTAATTTCAAGTTGTAAAACAAATTGAGCCCCAACACAATTATCAGTACATTGTATAAGCTGCCACCATATCTCAATGTAGTCGAATGGGATCAGTAGGCATGAGGTAGGTGAAATTTCACTCATGTTTGGTGACAAATAGCAGGAGTCGCAGGGAGCTTGCTGCCAGAGAACCATTCGAGATTATTACTACAGAAATGTTAATGTCTGGGAATCCACTTGTGAAGGACTGCTCCTTTTAACAGTCTTACACAGCTAAAGCAGTAAAACATTTTTCAAACTTTGATTATGCACAGTCTAAACATAACTCGACTTCAGTTGTTTCTCAGATGTAAAACAGCATTAGATTTTTCTACCATAGAAAGTAGAAGTTTGGAGTCTGTAATTGAATTTTTTTAAAAAACAAAAAGAACAGATTCACATCACAAAAGGTTAATGAATAATAGTAAATTCTTAAGCATTATTGCTGGGGATAGAAGGTAGGTACTATTGTACAGTTTGTGTTCATTTCCCTATTATGCATTGCTTTGTCTTCCATAAATGCAGATCCCATATTAATCTAAGTCCAAATATATCTGTCACCTCTGGCCTCCCGACCTCATGAAATAGTAAGAATAAAATTGCACATTTTTTTACAATTGACCTCAGCTACACAGGGTTGGTATTTTCGTAGTGCTACTTTTAAATTTGCCAAATGAAATCAATGAAATACCATTAAATTGAACACTGGCATCAATGTTTGCTGGCAGTTAGCCAAGTGAACTCTCCATAATCAAACAAAATGTGATTAATATCACACAATCAAGAAAATGTTCAAAGCACCAGTATAGTGTTTGCGGACAATACAGAACAATGCAGTTATCAAACCTGGATCTCAGTCAAATTGATGGATTCCTAGATTAAAACAATTTGTTACATCACCGATGCCCAAAAATTTGTTCTTTCAAATAAAGTTTTGACAGATTTTCTTTTCCAATAACTAATGTATTGGAACAGAGTTTCTAAACTAGCTGAATCGAGTTTTCTGCTCCTCTTCCCCCCTCAAGCAGCTGATCATTTGCATGAGTGTTTTTCTCATATTGGTTTAATTCAAGCTTCAGATTAATGTAAAACTTTGATCGAGATAAGCTACAGTATAATGTTGGAGGTAAAATACCCCATTACACAGCCTTGGTCAAGGCCAATAGATGCCAAACACAGCACTGGTTCCAGTGAGGAACGTTGACCCCTTTGCTCCCAACCATTGATGAAATGTGACAAGTTTACTACAATTTGACCACAATACGTTAAATGCATAAAAGAGGACTCAGTTCCCTCAATATAACTGATTCCTTCAATTCTTCAGTAAAGGATCTGCCATTTCTGATTGATTAGATGCAACGTACATAGCTACAAGCTCAGAGTTTATTGTTTGGCTTTGGTGGTAAAGTGGCAATGCACAGCCTGGGGTATGTGGGTTATAGCGATACCATGACTGAATGTATGTGTTTGTCTAGCTCTACCTTACACACTTCAGAAACTGCTGATTTTGGTGCCATGAGAACTGGTGGGTCTTCTTCTCCTGTGGAGACAGAGAGAAACAGGAATAAAGAAAACTGCTCTGGATGAAGCAGATTTAATTTTACTCTAAATAATGTTAACACCATGATTTGGTCAGAAAGCTCCCCTGGCCGACAGGTATTGTCTACATTACAAAACGCTGGGCACCGGATAGATTCAGAACCATTTATATATAAAATGTAAGTTTGAAAAAAAAGCTTTGTATTGTACGGGATGCAATGTCAGGCTAGCTCTCTGAGCATTTAGCTAAGGTGGCTCCAGAGCTTGGAAAGTTGCTGTTATACTTCAGTTCAGCACAAAGTCACGCCCAGTTATATGACAATGTGGCCAAAATAACTGGTCTCTGATGTGTTTAACACAACAGCATCCTCGTGAGGTGCAATAAGTTATTACACTCAGGCTTCAGGTTCCTGAATTGCCAGAGTGAGTGAGTCAATGAGAGGAACTGCTGCGGATAGTCATGAAGGAAGTGTTATTATTACATATTGATTGACGTGCAGAGTGGCAGACTGTGGGGGAGGGGGTAAGGAGGGAAGGTGGTGGGGGGTGGGGTTGCTATAGGCTGTTTCCCCGATCGCACTCCCAGTGTTAAACACTCTCAGGTTAAATCTGAATTAAACCAGTTACAGACTGCAATCTCCCTTCACTCCACTGTAATCAGGAAAGCCCTGGAGCACAATTCCAGTTCTTATCCTTTTTTGTTCTTATTACAGTTCAGATTGAGGAGAAAAAAAAACATTAAATCTAATGACGGCTAAATTAAAGGGCAGCTTGTTCCCATTAATTCCCATCCGGTCGGTGGGAGGACACGTGCTCATCCCATTTGTGCATTCAAAGCCGGTGAGTGGAGGAAGGACTTTGGTTTCAAACCACTACAAGATGCTCACTTGGCTCTACATCTGAAGTGTGTCAGCTAACGAACAGCTCCTGCAAATGCCTTACCTAAGCCCGACGAGGAGGAGACACTGTCTGCTATGGAGTAGGTCTCTGTCTGGTCAGAACACAGACCGTCCATTAGGGGCAGCGACAATTCTGAGGAAGGAATAGACGAGTCATAGATGCCCGAGTCACGAGGCATTTCTGGGAGAGTGAGGGATATGGCCTCTACTCTCTGGGGCAGGGGCCTGAGCAGTGAGCGGGCATCCTGCTGCTCAGCAATGTCTAGATCTCCACATATGCTCAAGTGCTGAATGATGATGGGGTGGGAGCCCAGGGTAGTGGGAGTGACGTCGGCGATGGTTTTCAGGTGGAAATCGTGCTCAGTTACCGGCTGCTTAAAAACCACCTCATTCAACACCAGCCCAGAGTCCACCCGCACTGGTGCTCGGTGATGTGCCAGCGAGGGTACAGTTGGCATCAGCTGCTTCTGAAACCAGTCTGGCTCCTGCTCCATCAGCTGCTTCATGTTACAAATGGCGATGTAGAGAGAGCGTCCTGATCTACTCCGGAAGTAGTTGCTTTTGCTGATGTGGACGGAGTGTGGCTCTCGCTCTGCTCCACTGTGATCTCGAGCGTGTAAATGAGAATAGAGCTGAGGGAAATGTTCCATCAGTTTGTATTTATAGGCCAAGTCCAGGACACCCGGGATGTCAGCTTCACAGGAATAGTCAAAGTAAAGAGCGATGAACTTGGAGGTGTTGGCGGAGTTCAGCCGTGCCTGACGTAGTCTTTCCGCGATCATAGACACGGCTACAATAAACAGCTCTCCTCGTCCATCTCTCAAACCACCTTTGTGTTTACGGTGTTTCTTTTCCACAAAGTACTTCATACCCTTCGAACAGATGACGATGACATAATGGGATTCCCTGATCTGCTGGTTCAACCAATCCATTTGTCCTTCCTTGCAGATCTCCAAATGCTCCCATAAATCCAAGATAACCTATTTACAAACAATACAAGAGATCAACTGCATAATAAAACCAAACAGAAATTCCTCCATGTAAATCCAGGATGTTCACAACTGCCCAAACAGATAGCAAACCTGCTTTGCTTTCTTGTTTTAAAAAAGGAGCCATTTTCTGATGCTTTATGTCCAGGCTTGTTGGACATGCAAGTTGTTGTTCTCAAAATTCTTTCAAGAAGCTCTTTACAAAAGCTGCAATGTTCTCACACATCCACAGACATCTTCTCTTCTTCTCCCCCCACTCCCCCGAACACAACTCTCCTTTCAGAAATCCACACACACCATGTTTAGCTTACCTCACAGCCACAGAAATCTTGCAGGAAAAACGCAAAACACTGCACCACACTCAGGTGCCTGTGGCCGTCCTTACTGGAGTAGCAGATAAACACCTTGGGTTTAGAGCGAGGGGAAGGAGAGGTCTCCGAGTTCTCCTCGTCCAATTCCGAATACACTGGGTCTGAGAAAACAGCAGCCATGGGTTCCAGTGAGCGAACACAATGGAGAGTAACATTCAGCCTATAAACTGCAACAAGCTCCCTATAAACAGCCACAAACCAGAGCCTTACTATGCAGGAATGCTGACTGAGAGCTGCTGTAGCAAACAGACATCTGGAGAAGAGTTAGTTACTGGGAAGAACCGAGGTCTGGGATTTATTTTACTTGTGAATGAACTCAGTTGGTTTTGCCTGGAGCATTGTACAGTGGTACAGTCGGCCCATTCAGGAATTAAATACTGGATTCCGCTTCCTGGTGAATTCATTGATTTTAATTTGTGCAAAACCTGTTGCCAAACAAACAAAAAAAACAAAGATGGGTTACGCGCGCACACACACCACAAAACTAGGGAAATTCTCCTATTGAAGGCAGAGGGTCAGGGTAGACAGCACAGCCAAGGTGTGAGGCACAGGAGCAGCTACATCAGCAACAAGGCAAACTCTGAGCATTTCAGCGCCTTGGGACGTCCTCCCGACGTGAAAGGCGCTCTATAAATGGAATCTTGTTGTTGTCATTCACAATTGAGAGATTCCTGACTGTGAATGTTATACTATTAAACAAACATTTTACAAATGTTTTGCAATTCTTACTTTGCTGTTTCTTACAGCAGAGCACGGTGAGGAGAGTGACTATGGCAGACACGACGACCAGCGGAACAGTGATGGCAATCGCTCGGATAGGCCCAGCCCACGGGAAATGCACTGACGGACAAAGACAAACAGTACACGTTAGTCAGTTTACTGCCTGACAAAGTAACCAGTCGTTCAGCGCGAGCGTAAATGGCCGGGGAGGGGGGTGGTCGTGTAAACGGTGTTGAGCAGCTGGCAGCCATGCACATAAATCTCCAGCAGAAGGCATTGGAGAGCAGGAACCTGGGCTGTTCTGCTCGTAAACTTGGGGTTGAGGCCAATTCTAACAAAGTCAACAACAACCAATCCTTTACCTCGTGTCACTAGCTCAACATAGACATAAACCAACCCAAACCTCACCAGTACGTGTGGCTCAGCTACTCACTGAACTATCGGGCGAGTTTATAATTTTCCATTGGCAACAGGAGTCAGCCCAACACCTAGCGAAGAGCAGTCAAATCAGTGATAAATCATATGAAGCTCAGCGTTCCCGATCACGAGCTGTTCACTATTTTAGTTCTGACTAATGCAATGACTCATATAGTGCTCAGGCTCACACATGAATTATCACTTGGCAACAATGCTGGAGGATTCCCAGGATCCCAACCTCAGCACAGGTCAATGTTTTCAGGAAAGATCTGGAGAGGGAGGGGGGAGGGAAGAGCAATAGGACAATGGTTGTGGAACACAATAGTGGGCAAACGGGCTGCCACATTCGCCTACACACCCAGCCACAGACACACTGCACTTTACACTGAAATCCTAGTCAGTGCTTTGAGATGTCCTCCTGACATGAAGTACATGATATGAAATAATAATTCTTGCATTTGATATAGGGCTTTTCAATGCAAGATTATTAATACTATTGTTACTATTTCAGCAGTTATAACCATATCTGTGAACATGGGATATTTCCATTGTCTTATGTATAATAAACAAATTTCTACAGGGCTCTCAGCAAAAAACTGAGTTCAACAAGAAACCGACACCATTACCTGGTTTTACTGTGAAATTAACCAGCTTCCCACTGCTGTTGCCAGAGTCTGTTACCTACAGAAAGAGAAACACATAAATAGGTTCTTAATAATAAATATTAGATTTTTAAAAAAATTACAATAAGCAAATTCAGTCAATTTTAATTTGAATTCTGTTCAATAATTCATAAAATAATTGAGAATTTCTTGAAGAATCCAGATGAAAATTTCTGTTTATTGATCAATTATTCTTTAGTTCACAAGGAATCTAGAATAATAATCCTTGCATTTTGATGACAATTATTTGGCAGCACAAACTAGAGTAGGGTAATCCATTGGGCGCCTGCCACAACTCCAGGCTGTAGGTGTTTATACAGACTTTGGAACCTCTACTGAATCCGCAAATCCAACTTTAATTTTAAAGCCCAAATCGTGAATCAAATCAGTTTCCAAAAAAAAGGGGAATCAGACTGAGGGGAATATGGGACAAGAGAATAAAGCAGAAAGAAGAAAGGAAAGCTGTTAATGTGTTCATTCCCACTGGCTCCAGTCACTCTAATCCATCTGGCCACATATGGAGGCAGTTTAGTGATTCCCTGCTGTGCCACTTGCCAGGTGCTGCCTCCTGCCTGAGGACAAAGCTGGCACTTCATCAATCTCACCAGGTTCCTGCCTCCTCTCCCCTCAGCCACACGGACACTCAGGGCAGACTTTATAGTGTCTGGGGCTCAGAACAGCAAGCAATATACAACAACTTACATTTATATAGCACCCTTCAGGCAGGCAGCACCTCAAAAACCCTTAATATAGTTACTCTCTCTCTCTCTCTATATATATATATATTATACACATATATGCACACACACACATGGTGAATCAGAAGTCCTTACTCAGTTTTTAATTATAGCATGTTCTTTTTTTATTTCTCAGAGTGAGCAGCTATTACAGGAGACTGTTTTTCATCGTGTTAGTGAAAGTTTTTGTCACTGAGTTGATATGTGTAAAGGTTTACATGGCAATGCAGCGTGAACATCTGATATAGTCCTGTGTGTATGAAGTTTGGATTCACCCTGTATAACAGTTATACTGGAAGGGGTCACAGCTGAAGAAAGACAAACAACGGTACCTCAACCACATAGTGTCCTGGGTACAGATCCTGAAACACATAACTTACAGTCGTCATGTTATTGTCCTGTGGAATGTAATGGAACATGTCTTAGAAAATGCTCCTACATAAAACAGATCTCAACACAATTCAAACCTGCACTAATATTCACAAATAGGTTTGGACAACAAGTGCTCTGAAGCTTAAAGCACCATCATGGGATCACATGCCTTGAAACTACTCAACACCAATAATAATAATAATCACCACCAACTTGTACTTCTATGGCGCTCTTCAAGCAGGGGAGCGTCTCAGAGCGCTTACTCACGTCAAACTCTGTCAAACACAAAAATAGTAGCCAATGACCAGCTGCGTGACTGAAATCTGTATTTGTTCACACCTCATTCTAACAGCACTACAGCCAATCACAGAGCTTGAAACTGTGGCTGAGCCTCAGAACTAGGAATGTGTGTAGATATGAGACACACAGAACAGTCTACGTGATCAATGGACTCAACCGTCACTTATCTGGACCTGTCAGACAGTCACTAGGAACCTGGTCTCACTGAGTCAGTCAATGAGAAACCTTGACCTGACTGGGTCACACCAATGGATATCACTGCGCGCATACAACAGGGACGACTTGAAGCACTTGTTTTCCCCCCAAAAGATAGTTTTGTGGCATCATCCATTTTAAACCTATTTTGTCTATTTTCTCAAAACCAAAGATCTAATTTTGAGCGATATGCAAAGGGTCATTGACTGGTCTGTGGGGAGTTGAAAGGCGCCATACAGATGTAATTTGTTATTGTCTGATCTCAGGTGGACAGCAATGAAAAGCTGCAATTGGGGTTTCCTGCCTCAGTCTCTGGGCTGAACTCTGACGTTGACCCATTGTCACTTAGCCACACGCTGTATGTAATTAACCCGCGGCTAATAAACTAATTTGCTTCGAAAGGCAGCGATTAAGCACAGAGAGAAAGCTCCCTGAGAAAACACCCAAAAAGCAAGTCAGGACTTGTAATAGGTGTTCAAACCAAAAAAGATAATTGGAAAAAAATCGCATTTCTAATGCAAGGAATGGCATTACAGTTTTACGGTACAATGTGTTTCTCTTACCACAGAGATGTTTTTGTCCTTGTGGAAAACAGTATTCACCATTTTACAGCGGATGTGGTAAGCTTTAAATCCGTAAGTGAGCGGGGCGGGGTCAAAGGTCACGTTTAGGTCTGTTGACTGGTATGGTTGAGTGACACTTAGGTTCTTTGGGGACCAATCTAAGATACAAGTGTAAAAAAAAACTCATTATTAAATGCATAAAATACCTTCTTCATTGGAATAATCTACCACAATCCCAAAAATTGTTGAACTCAAACTCACATTTTCTGCAGGCCAAATTATCCCTTTTCAGCAGGTTTTCACAAGCTGTGTTGGGAGAGAGGAAAATGCTTTTGAAATCTATCCCATTGCACATACAGCAGACACCAGTGATAACAAACACAGTGACTGGGATCCTTAAATCCCAGCCCGGATGGATGTCACTCATGTTTTAGTGTGAAAAGTGAGCTGGGTCTGGGAGGCTAACATGCATGCAAGATGCTATATAAATGAAAGTTGTTGTTACTGGGTTTTTGGTGAGTAAACTTGGGTGTCCACACCTTCCTGTAAGTGATCCTGCACTTGCAAGGAAGCGCATTATATAAAGGGGATCTGGCTGCAGTTCATGTTTCATCTCAGGCCTTTAATTTTAATCTAATGCAAAGCAACAAAACACTACCACTTGTAATTATACAGTGTCTTTCACCTCTCATGAATACTTCAAAGTGCTGAACAGAAGGGAGTACAGAAGAGAATTTAAGGGTGTTGCCAACAAGCACCTGAAAGAGATAGTTTTGTGAGAGTTTTGACAGCAATTAGTGAGCGAGACACAGGGATCTGGGGAGAGCGCGGGGACAATAGCTCAAGTAGTTATTTTTAAATCAGAGCATTAGAAAAAAGCAAATTGGAAACCACAGCATAACAACAAAGTGAGTTATTTTATTTCAAACCAACATGTACTTGTGTCAGTTTTGTACTGCTGGGAGTGATATGAAATCAGAGCAAAATTTATATTTTGTTCAAACCTCAATTATGATGTTCAAATACAGTCAGTGCAAAGGTGGCTTCATCGGCACCAGCTGTTTCGATGTCTGGGAACTGCGGCCACACAACATTGTACTTAAAACAAATCAAACGGACACTTTAAACAAGTGACGCTCAGTCAATAATAATACTAACAATACTCACATTCAATCTCAAATTGGAAGGTGTCACTGTTATCCTGCACCAGGTTGGGGAAGGGTAAAATCTGCACATTATACAGAGTCTTAAACTTCAAGCTTCGAAATGGATGGGATTTCATTACCTGATGGAAAGAGAAAACTCCCAAATCACACTGAACACACATAATGCATATGCCAATTACCCACCAACAAACACAAGAAAAAGTACATATCACACAATGAGAGAATCAGCGTGGATTCCCAACTCCCGCTAGCTGTGCAGTGGTCCTGGATACACATAATCCTTACGTTTCATATAACACCTATCACATCGTTAAAACTGCCAATCAATTCACAGGATTTACTGAAGTAGTTACTGTATTTGTAGACGAATGTGGCAGCTAAATTGTACAGAGCAATGTCCCAAAGACCAATGTTGCCTTGGGATTATTGGCCAGGACACGAGGAGAAATTTCCTTTTCTTTTTGAATAGTGCCACAGGATCTTTGACATTTACCCGAACAGGCGATTCACAAAATCTCAACGCTTCCCATTACACAGCAGTTTGTGAGCTTTACTCACAAGTGTCCTGTTGAAATTCTTCAGCTGTCTTCGTTCTTCCAAAACCAGCAGCTGACACAGTGTTGGAGCCCCCTCCAGTTTAGCTTCTTGTAGAATTATTTTGAAGCCTTGGAGATATTCAATACCTGAGTATTAACCAAACACAGAATGTTACATGGACACCTTAAAATAATATCAATCGCCTGAACTCAAGGTGTGACTGTCTTACAATAATGCTTGCCTTTGATATTGTGCCTTGTCAAGTCAAACATCTCAAAGTGCTTCACAGTAATTACCATTAACTGTAGCGATTATTTGTAGACAAATGAGGCATCAAATTCATGTCCAACAAAAAGCCAAGAGGTGAATGACCAATACAATTGGAGATTTGTTGACCAGGATGCTGGGAGAAATTCCTTTCTCTTTTTGACTTGCACAAAAGGATTCTTTTGACATCTGACTAATCAGGCAGACGAGATTAGGTTTAATATTTCATATGACAAGCACATCTCCAGCACTTCCCAACACTGCACTGGAGCATCAAGAAAATCCCTGACAAGGACATGAATCCACAACCTTCTGACCTAGAGGGTAGTTGTGAAGGAGAATTCGGAATAAATATAGAAGTTCATTTTGATTTCTTCCCAGCAAAGAGAGGAGGAGAGTATTACCACACAATAAAATAGTTACAAGACTGAATGCTTTGTCATTGGCGGCTCAAATCCCTTTTGGATTCTAGGTACCAGCAGAATCAGTTCTTGTCGTCTACCAGCCAAATTCAGCATTAAAACAGAGCAAAAGTTTGTTCTGTACTATGTTGAAGCTTGCACACAATTTGTAGGTGTAGAACCAGCAAGACAAAAGGAAGCTCTCATTCCAATTGAGCTCTGTGAAGGTTTTCTGCTAAAACCAAGCTGGCCCATTGCCGGTGTAGAGATGGGCTTTTTGCCACAGGTTCTATCAACACTGTGTGTGTCTGCAATCTCTCACTCTCTGTGTGGTTCTGTACTCACAATTCCTTACTCATGCACTTTCAATAGAACCCTTTCTCAGTTGCCCTGCAACGTGCGAAAAAAGCCACAAATCACCAGCTCGGAGTCAGGCTCCGCCACTGTTAAGCGCTCCGAGATGCTGCCCTGCATGGAGGGCACTATATAAGTGCAAGCTGTTGTTATAGAACTCGCACAGGTGCTTGAAATCAGTCACATCACTGAAGGGGACACATCATCAACAGCTGCCCATGTTCTGCTTCCTCTCAGCGAGAACCTCAAACTCTGTATTAAACAGGTTAGACACGAGTCTCAAACACACACTTTAACTTTGAAGGCAGATTGTCCATCGTCTTCTAAAGGCTGGAATGTGAGAACGCTCGGCCATTCGTTTCAACTTCCCGCTCGTCTGCTGAGGGTCAGCAAGTCAAGTGCCGCGAGACAATGTGGCTATTGTTGTAGAAGACAGTTTATTGCAGGAATCTGGTCAATGCTACTGAGGGGGTAGATTGCAGTTTGAATTGCATTCGCAGGAAGCAGACATGAGAATAAAGGGGAAATAATTGCAATGACTAACACTGACTGCAGCACAATGGAATTACAGGTAGCTTAGCATTTCTCTTTTAAGTGAGGAAGTAAATTTCTTTTAAACAAAACAAAATGGCCGCTTAGCAAACCAAATCTTTGGTTACAATGAAGAATCGAAGGATAAAATGAATTTAAAGAAGTCTTGATCTCCCCCCACCCCCACCAAACTGCCACATTCCCTCTCCAGCCGAGTTAGTCTCTTCCTGACAGCCTCCCTTCCTCTCACTGATTCCCTTCCTCACCCTCATCGCTTGCAATGACATTTATTTCTCAGACCATCAGTGTCAACAGGAGACTGACAAAGACTTGAATCTAATGGTCTGTGGACAGCAGCTGCACACACTTAGATAACTGCACGTTACACCAGGCTTTTCAATAGTTAAACAACTAACATAGATATCTCTGAACATCAATATTCACTCCTGGGTTAAATTTGCAATGTAAAAAAATTAAATCAATTCCAAAGGAACTTGTGCTTCAAAAGGAGTTTATTCCTGGAGTGTTGGTCACAATGCACTTGCAGCACAATATAATGTCAAGTTATTACTCTTGTACACTTGGCTATCTTTCAACAATGAAAGCTAAAGAGCTTCAGGAAAGGTAAGGGAAAGGAAGCAAGTCATGTACTTCTGTCTCTCCCCTTCGCTGCTCTAAGGTCGACCTCAAGACCTTCCTCTTTGACCGCATTTTCGGCCATCTTTCCCCCCTCAACACCTCCCACTCACCCCCATTTCCCTGGCCTCCAACCCCAGACTGTGTGCAAACCCTGGACTGACAAGCACCGTGGGACATCACCCAAACATGTGAATGTGTATTGTTGTACTGGCCCAAGTCACTCACTGATGCCACAGTCAGCCTCACGTACAGCTTCTCAACTCAGATTTTGTATCTAAATATAAAAGTGGAACCCGAGTTCTGTTTGCTTCTGAACAGATGTGCAACTAATAAAAGAGTATGTAGCCCGTGCGGGAAACAAAATATAGGATCAAGTCCGTCTTACAGAGAAACTTTATAACTAATAATAATGAGAACTCCTGAAGGGTTCTGCCCAGCTTTGACTGCAGTTATAATAATAATAATCCTTGCATTTGATATAGTGCTATTCATGTCTTCTCGATGTCTCAAAGCGCTTCACAGAATATACAGCAAAGTGAATTGACTGTATATTTGTGGGCGAACACAGCAGCCAATTGCGCACAGCAATGTCCCACAAACAGTCGTGGATTGAAAATGACCAATTTATTATTGTTTTGTTTTTGGAGGGATTATTATTAGGCTCTGTGTGGAGTAAGGAAACTTGCCCGAGTTTCGCCCTCTGCCTGGAATTGAACTCAGGTCTCTCACTTGCAAAGCGAGTGCTCTAACCACTGAGCTACAGGACTCCACGAGTGTTGTCAATGTGAGGCAAAGGTAAGAGGTGGGATTCAGCTTCAACCCTCACTGCACTTAGGAGGCTGTTAAGCATTCTGGGATGCTACCCTGAGTAAGGGCGCTATATAAATGCAAGATGTTGTTGCTGTTAAACTCTTAGTCAAGGCTCAAATATAAGGCCACTTGGACACAGTAGCAAACAGACAGCGACAACATCTGTGGGAATGGATCGGAGGAGATGGTAAAGGAATCCAAATACCTTCAGGAGAGAAGAAACTTGGCTGCGCTGAGGGGAAAAGGAGCACTGTACACACATATGATGGTTTCCTATAAACAAAAGGTCCTTTGTTACAACCTTTTGCTTTATCATCTGCAGACGGAAAACATTCCATTCGGTTCATATTCCAAATGGAGCAGAGACTTGAAAGACTTTTCATTCAGATTTTCTCCACATGGTGTCTGGCAGATACTATCTGTTCAGCACAAGCCGACAGACTAGTTCTGCGTGTTTCACCAAATAAACCCTGGTCTGTGCTGGTGTGATGGTGAGCAGAGCTCAGAGGGAGGCGTTCAGCCACATTCCAACTTTGTTACAGTCAATAGGATCAGCTTCCGAGGTACATTCATTCCTGAGCTTTGTGCACTTTATTGCTTTGGGGTTATGTGTGTTTTTCTGGGTATCAAATGACCAAATCCAATATCACAGCAACAAATTACACCACAATAGGTTGCTGAACCACAAGAAGTGACTTTTGAAAATATTTTATGCATTGAAAAACAAGTTACAAATATAAGGTAGAAAATGCATTGCATCCTGAAACTGAAGTTTAATCCCTCTAATTTATAATAATCTTTACATTTGATATAGTGCCTTATCATATCTTTGAGACATCTCAAAGCGCTTCACAGAATATACTGTAAAGTGTAATGACTGTACATTTTATGGGAGAAACGCAGCAGCCAATTGCGCACAGTAGTGTCCCCATAAACTGATGTGGATTGAGTGACCAAATTTTTTTTAATATATTTTTTTAAATGGATTATTATCACCGGAAAAGGGATCCACCAATTGACTAACAACCGGGTTACTACTTACTAATAGATAAACAGAGGCGTTCGGAGTAAGGAAACTTGACTAAAGTTTCGACCTGCCCGGGAATCAAACCCAGGTCCTCTCACTTGCGAGGTGAGCACTCTAACCACTGAGCTACTTGCAAATGGTTACGGATTTCTTTTTAAATGAGAATTTAACATTGAGAAGAACTGCTTAACTGTAGAGAACTATTTCAAATCAGGCTTCTTGACACAGGTGTGGCATCACTTAATTCATGTAAGCCTTGCAGTGTAGGGAAGCGGTGAGGAGCAAGATCAAATGGGTATCAGATTCTAACCACCTGTACAAGTAGTTAGTACATTAGGTACCTAGTACAATGGTAGAGCAAACCAGGCCATGACAAAGAGATGAGGTTTAGGGTGGGGAATACAATACAGGCTCCTAGTTTAGACATACGATAATCTGAATGCTTGAGCTCTGCTAATTCCTGAAAGATCGCTGGTATATCACAAGGTATTGTAGTCACATTGTACAACACATGGTAGCACAGCACACACTCTATAGTCTTGACAGTACAGGCACAGACTGTAGGAGACAGCCTGAACTCAGGCACCAGTAGACTGAATTGATGAGAAAAACCGAACCACAGGAAGCACAAGGCCGGCCTGAGGACTTCCCCACATTACGCGTGCAATCCTGACCTATAGAGCACAATTTAACTAGCATTATGTAATGTCAAGGTAAGCTTCAGCCATTTGTCCGACATGAATTTTATGTTCCTGTCTGACCTCGTTTCCTCTCCTCTCCCCAGTGCTCCACGTGGCTGCTCAGGGCTCTGACACTACACTACAGGCTGTCACTTACCCAAGGGGCTTGGATTCCACTGAACGCGAACTGCCGCCAGGCTGTCCTGAACATTTTGGATGAAGCAGAAGTTTTGGACTTTATCAATTGGTTGCTCGCCCTTCAAATCACCTCCTGCCGAACAGTCTGTAGCAAATACACAAGAGGTTAGATCTAAGAACGACTTGAATTACAGGGATGATGTACTCTGTTTGGTCAAAAGCCAAATAAAACTGCAGCTTTATTACACCGGCCTTTCCTTTTTAGGTGAACCAAGAACAACCATCATTAACTGAATGCCATTAGTTTCTATAATAGTTACTGTAGAATTTATTAAAATCCCTTAAATTAGAACTGGCTTTAAGAACTTCACTTTGTTACTGACTTAATGATATGTGAAGAGCAACTCGCACTAATGGCTCCTCTGACTCAGGAACACTCCTCTTTACAGAATTGATGAAATCCTCCGAGCGTGGGGGACTCTGCCCTGCATCAGGGGCACTATATAAATGCAAGTTGTTGTTTGTTGTTGTGGGGGGAGGAAGGTGACCAATAATACATGGGCTTTTAGAATGTTTTTGAAAACTAAGAGAGGTTGCAAGGCGGAGGGTGATCCAGAGACTAGCCCCAGAGCAGCTAAAAGCCAGGTACATTTCACGTTATTCACCATGACTTCTGCAATCTTTGGAGCAAGATTTTAGGCAGAATTGATAACAAATAATGAGAAACCTAAATTCATCTGCAAAATCTGGCAAAGGACTATGAGCTCCCTTGTTAGTTTAAAGTACATTTATAATTTAGCAAAGGAGCAGCTAAGGGAATAATTTTTAATTAACACTCGCTTGCCCTGAAATAAAGGAAAATGTGGTTTAAGTAAAAAGAACCTCTTTGCCTTGTGTAGCTGCAAAACAGCAGGTCTCTCTGGAAACAAATTAACTCAAACTTAGAACAGCTGAAAGCAGCTATAGCACTGTTCCTCTGAAACAGGCGTGAATTAGCTGTTAGTATAATAGAACCTGGGCTCCCAGCTTCTACTTAAAACAGACCAATTTCATCGCTTTTAACTTTGGCTTCATTACTAGTTATTACAACTAGACATTTGGGAGCAATGCAAGCCTGTGCACAGCAGGTCAGAGCTGGGAGGGTGCATTAGAAACATCACTGGATAGGAGCAGGCTAATTTTCTCTCTATACAGCAAGGTTTCAGTTTGGCTCAGTTTGAATATTCCTGCATCATGGAGAGTGTAATGGGAAACAGGACAAAGCCTGTGGGCAAAACCTTTTTTGTGCATCCTTTACTGGGAATTTATAGTCTTTTTTTATTTGTGTCTGGCTGTGCTGGAGCTATAAACTGCGGGCAGACATTTAAAGCTAAGGCATAGCCATTATTTCTGCTCAGTCACTGGAATTCTACAGGATTGGATAAATAATAATCCCTGCATTTGATATAGCTCCTTATCGTCTTTGAAACGTCATCAACGAGCTTCACTGATGTTCATCAAGCTGCCCAGATCAGTCATAACCACTGATCAACAACAACAACTTGGATTTATATAGCGCCTTACACGCCGGACGGCGTCTCAGAGCGCTTTACAGTTTAGGATCCCGGGACCGACCCAGGGGGAGGAAGGTGACCGAAGGCGCAGTCGAAAAGAAAGGTCTTCAGCAGAGACCTGAAAATGGGAAAGGAGGGAGCGAGACGAAGGGAGTGAGGAAGGCAATTCCAGAGCCTCGGGGCATAGAGCACTCGCTTTGCAAGCGAGAGACCTGAGTTCAATTCCAGGCAGAGGGCGAAACCTTGGGCAAGTTTCCTTACTCCACACAGAGCCTAATAATAATCCCTCCAAAACCAAAAACAATAATAAATTGGTCATTTTCAATCTACGACTGTTTGTGGGACATTGCTGTGCGCAATTGGCTGCCACGTTCGCCCACAAATATACAGTCAATTCACTTTACAGTGTGTTCTGTGAAGCGCTTTGGGACGTCCTCCCGACGTGAAAAGCGCTATATCAAATGCAAGGATTATTATTATTATAGTGGCTGAAGGCACGGCCGCCGAGGGTGGAGCAGAGAACTCGGGGAACAAGGAGGAGACCAGACCCAGAGGAACGAAGGCAATTGTGCTGAGGAGAGAGGTCAGAGAGATCGGGGGGTGCAGAAAAGTGCAGGGACTTGAACACGAGGGTGAGGATCTTGAAATTGATCCTCTCTGGGACAGGCAGCCAGTGCAATCTGGCCAGGACTGGGGTGATCGGGGAGCGGAGTTTCGTGCGGGTCTGAATGAGTTGGATTTTATGGGTGGTAGTGGATGGTAGACCGGCGAGGAGGGCGTTTGAATAGTCCAGCTGGGAGGTGACAAAGGCATAGACCAGAGTTTCAGCAGCCTTTGGGGAGAGATATTGGCGGAGAAGGGCGATGCGTCGGAGGTGGAAGAAAGTGGAACTGTGAAAGTGGAAGAATCAGTCATAGCCTGTTGGCAGATTGTATAATTGTCATGTGTCGGGGGGCAATGACGATCACAGCCCCCTAACCCGCTCACCTGATAGACACACCTGTATTTACTGGTAGGAATTACTGCCTCGTGATCAGACACAGAAACCTTGGCTGCTTTTCTACTCTTTCACTAGAGACACTTACACTGTTAGCATGTCAAAAAAGATCAGGTAATACACATCAGATCAGTGATCAGACCTGGGATCTTCAGTGCCTGTTGATCCCAATTTCACACAAGGCAATGGTTTTACCAACTGAGCCATTAGGAGACATAATGCAACGCAAACTTCACATGATTTTTTTTGGGGGGAGCACAGCAATGAATGATTCACTTTAAGAAACAAAACACTTATTTATCAACGATAATGAAGGATCTCCTCACCTTCGTATCTGAATTCAGTCATCGGTCTCCCGTTGTCCTGTAACAAGAAAAACAATGTGATATCTTAATGGCAATGTGTAACTCTGAAATGGCTCAGCACCACTGTGAATGGGCTGCTCAGGCCCGTCACTATTTTCATCCTCATCTGAACTGAGTTACAGGAATGTGTCAGTACCCAGCCAGACATACATCCCTACAGAACCTCTGTAACACATTTATATTCCAATATGAAGTTAGCTCCACCGACAGATTCTGAGTTTATTGTTTCAATTTCTAAAGACTCAAGTCATCCTTTAACCAGCCGTGCCAGCTAAGCAGAAGCCTTCACTTTGTAACCCTGCCTTCAACATTCAACAGCACATGTTCAGCAAGTCCATCACCAGATGCTCTCTGAATTTATATGATCAACCATTACACCCTCTCTTCCATGGCAGAGGGGAATAGAGTAGCGAGGGCATGAAGGTACAGAAACAGTAAAATAAAAACAATGTACCTTTGTTAAAATTTATGCAATATAACCATCTTTTACTGAGGTGCACAGTAAACAACAGCTTGAAAACACTTCAAGTTCATGTTGTGGTTTTGTGGGGCAGAAGCATGGAAGCTGCAGATACAAAATCACATTAAGAAATCATTGCCCAACCACAACCGTTCAAAGTCAAGGAAGGAACAGATTTCCCGTCCATTAAAATAGAGGAAAGCAAGCCTCAGAAGTAGGAGCTGCTTGCACTATATAACCCAAGAGGAGAGAGGCTTTGGCTGACCTCAATGGAGGTTGTGTCTGTTAAACAACTGCCATGGTAGATGAGGCCTTCCTTTAATGAAATGAGTTAATTAAGAGTTTTTTTTCTTTAATACCTGCAGACCCAGGCTGTGAGCACTAACCTTCCCGTCTCATCTACTCATGCTTTCAATTAGACAACATCTGTTACCAATCTCATTATAAAGTTTTCTACATTCATGTGGACTCTTAGAAGATGGCAATTCAGGCCACAATGAGCTTTTACTAACTCCTGCATGGACTTTGTAGCCACTTTGCCTATCTGAGGGAATTACAATTCCAGTAGAGTAAATGACATTGCTGTGTAAAAGCCAGGAGAGAGCTGACTGCTGCTTTGGGTTGACACTGAAGCCAACTTACACTTTTATAGCACCTTTTATGTTGGGAGGATGTATTCAAAGCACTTCACACTGGGAGCCCCAACATCTCAGCAATTCCACCAGCCACACCCCCACATGTTTCATTGGTCTGATAAATATATCAAATCAGGATTCAAATGTATTTCTTTCATTTCTAGAACCCGAGACCCACAATGAAATGGAGGCTCAGTTTAGATTAATTAGTCCTACACAGTTGCCATCAACACCTTCATAGTTTGCAGATTTGAATCTTCCAGCAAATTGATATTTTCAGCAAAAGGCAGCAAATGGAAGTTTTCCCACAACGACAACAAATTACACTCGTGGCACTCTTCACATTGGAAAGATGTTCAACAGATCCACACAGCCAGATTTCAGGGTGTAAAGATTTATTGAAGTTCATGGTGTCTGGCACAAAGGGTTGTGCTTTACATCAAAGGGCGTATAAAGATATGTATATGAAAGGAGACGAGAGGAAACGGAATACCTCAGCTTTGTCTAAACAGCTTTTAAGGTAAAAAGATTATTCTTGCTGCTTATATAACTGATTAAAAAAAATCTGCAGCAGAATTTTACAATCCTCATTAAAAACACCCACATAAGTACTTGATGTGCGTATATATTCACATACAAAATAAGTCACTACTACAATAATAAGATTACATTTGTATAGTTGCCTTTCACGTCGGGAGGACGTCCCAAGGTGCTGGAAAGTGTACAGTATTTCAGGGTACTATACCATAGGACTCTACAGAAAATACAAGTCACTACACTACATGACTACAGTAAATCCTGTGAAGTGCTTGGAGACATTGATGACATAATTGACTATATCAAATACCAGGATTATTAGTTATATATTTGCGCATTCCATTCCAACAATCTATCTCTGGAGTTTCCATATGTGTAGGTGGGATACATGGAACGCTCAGTTTGGTTCTGAAGCATGGTGATGGGTTTCCACATGTCAGACACCTGGCTGGGCCAACAGAATACTTGCCTGGAACTAACAACAAGTATGTTGGGTGAGTCATTCACATGGGGGAAAAAAGCCGCATTTTCAGCATCTGTTTATTTTGGGAAACAAAGCTCATAGTGGCATGTCAGGCAGGTGTTCTGGCTCAATATTATCATTTGAGAAAACTGAATCCTGGGGTAATGGTTCTCATCCAAATGGCCAACGGCACGTCAAGGCGCTATATCAAATGCAAGGCTTATTATTATTATTGTGCTGCTTGTCACACAGGGAGCATCATCATTGAGCTGGATGGATCCTGTCGGCATTAACACCAGTTTCTGGGGTAGCCAGACACTTTGTTTGCCTGATGGAGAGCATGATTTGGCACCCTACCTACCACAAAACCACAAACTGCATTTGGCAGAAATCACCAGGGAAGCACTTTTGAGAAATGACAATGTTTACAGGTACAATGTCCAGGATTATTTAATCAACTGATCCATCAGCAAGGACGTGCCTCAGACAGGAACTAAAGATACACGACCAGAAGGTGCTGCAAGTTCAAGCTCGCTTTCCATATGGTGGAGTGTAAACAAAACAGAATTCACAGCTATCTGCAAACTCAAGGGAACACAATCTGAGCTGCTCAGTGCTTCTCTGGACCACAGGCTTTTTGAGAAATCTAATCACCTTTTTAAAGGAATGCTTTGTTGTTTAGCTTGAATGGGCTGGAGTGAAAGATTTGCAAATGGGTTAATGTCATCCACAGTTGACAAAAATTCTGGTCCAGGGTTATTTAGGAGAGAGAAGGGGAATAAATCCACACTTGGTTTGGCAAACGCGCTCTGCATTTAAAATTCCATCACACTAAAGGGAGATGACATCACCTTATTCTCACCTTTCACGAATGGGCGATTAACATGTTGTGAAGCTTTTGTTATTCACTTTGAAATATTTAAATCCTTGACTAGTGAAGCGAACAAAGAGACAAAACACACTGAAGTCACCTGACACCCAGCCATGGTTGCTCTGGCCCCTTAAGTTCCCCCTCCAGCTCCTTAACATCTCCACCTCTGCTGTGCCTGCTCGCCACAACCTCCGCAAGTCCCCCCAACACACAATGGTACTCACACTAAACTGCCACCTACATCTGTCCCTATTCCTGCAGTGACATGATGAGGGTATTCTCTCTTTAGACAAGTTTCCACGGAGACCCTGAGACCACAAGCAGTGATGTGCTGGCTTCAATTCCAAAGCACAGTTACATAGTTCAGTTGCACCTGTAAAGGTGATTTCTCCCTCGCCAGGTGGTGGGTAAGAACAGTTCTCAAAATAATGATAAATAATAAGTTGCATTTGATATCACGTTGTCGAGACTTCTCAAAGTGCTTCTTTTCTAAGTAGACCCATTGAATGTTTAATATCCACCTGAACAGACAGACTAGACTCCAGATTATCGTCTCATTCAAAGGACAGCACCTCCAACAATGCCGCCCCCTTCAGAATTGCACTGGTTATATGGTTTAATTTCAGATTGAACCATATAAGCAGTGAATCATCTCCACTATAAGGCTTGATTTAAGAGAGTTTACTGATATATTGCATTCCATTTTTGAATGAAGTGAAAGCTCCTTATTAACAAAAACAACTTGGATTTATATAATGCCCTCCATGCTGGATGGCGTCTCAGAGCGCTTATGTACCCGAGCCAGGAAATCCACACACTGTTTTCTCAACTGTTTCCATGAGGAATTTTCTTCTTTAGCTTTTCTTCCTTATCTCTGGCCTGGGATCCATGTGTTGCAGCTACATCTGGGAAACTTTACCTCTGCTCAGCTCTGCTAGTGGCCAACAATTACAGCTGTGTCCATGTGTGAGAGCAACTGTTAGCCTCATTAGAGAGACGCTGCAGGTCCTGCTAATCGCTTTGCTAGACGTGTGTGTGCACGCGCACCAGGCATGGGGTGGGGGGTGGAGTGGAGTGGGCGGAGGGTTGGGATAGGGGGAGGGGGAACCTTCATAGACTAAACCAAAACACAAATTCAATTATGCTGCATGTGTTGATCAAGTAACAATTTGATTTGAAGCTTAAGGTTCTTTCCTCCTTAATGGGAATAAACAAAAATGAAAAAAAAACAAAGGCGCCTCTTCTGTGAATCTGACATAACTGAGTCATGAGCATCTTCTCTGCATTGGCCCATGTTTGCTCATGAGCTGCAGAAAATCGTACAAATGCCCAACCGGGAAATAACTGGGCATTGTTAGCAACACAGAATCAATGGCCCAAATGTCTGTTTCAAAGCATATTATTATTGTTGTAAAATCTACTGCCCATCGATAGGATTTCCCACATGTTTAACAAGAGTTCCAGAGAAAACTCAACCTTGGGAGATGATTAAAGTGAAATGAATGCATTATTTACAGGTACTATTTACAGGAAAGGAACTCAGGATCTCAGTGCTATACTTACACGCCTATCTCCATAGCTGCCTCTTCTGAGATTACCTTTGTATCATGCGAGATCCATTAACACTCTCTCCTGTGTGTTCACAATGGATTAATGCTGACCCATTCAATGCTGCTTTTATATTCTTTTTCTTCCTAACGTTCATATTCTTGAGTTGATCCTGGTTCTCCTCCTCATCCCTCTCCACGTTAATCACTCCCACGGTTTTCTGAACAATGCTAAAACTCTTCTACATTTTGTACTATTCTGAGAGTTTCCAGCATTCGTAATTTTTCTTGTTAATCTTTTAACACAAATGACCTCTCTTGATCAACTTCGCTCTCTGTAAACCAGACTAACAGTCAGCTTTCCTGTGTCCAACCAGAGGAGACGTCAACAAATCCACCAGAGAAACTCAGCCCTGATTCCCTCAGTGACCCATTCCCTGGCAAGTGCTTGTGTTGAGGACATTGGGTCAGGATGGATTGAGCTT